GGGCCTTGAGCCTGTCGTGCGCGGACTCGTCCGCTGCCGGTTGGAGAGTGAAGGAGCCCAGGCGGCGGCGGTGGTGGCAGCTTGCGGCACCAGCGAGGCCCCGGGTGCGGCCGGCTCCTGAGCGGCCCCTGGTAGAGCCCGGCGGCGGCCGTGGGCCTCTGAAAGGGTGAGTGCGAACAAAGAGGCGGTGGGCGTCGACGAGCACTGCCGAGCCGGGCCGGGCTGGGCCCAGGAGCGCGCAGGTGATGCAGGTGACCAGGCCGGGGTGGGCGGGCCCCTGAACCTGATGCCCCGGGCCGGCGGGGAGCTGCGCGGTGGCCACGTGTCCGAGGGGCCCGGCCCGCCATGGCCGGGTTCAGCTACACGGCGCCCTGGTGGGTGAACCTCCTGCACCGGCTGCCGCACTTCAGCCTGCGCTGGGAGCCCACCAAGTGGCCAGTTCCGGCCCAAGGACCCCGACTGCCAGCGAGCAGTGCTGCTGCTCGGGGCCGCCGCGCTGGCCTGCCTCACCCTGAACCTCCTCTTCCTGCTCCTCTACTCCTTCTGGCTGCTCTGCCGGCGGCGCGGGAACGAGGAGCACCTGGACACCGACTGCTGCTGCACCGCCTGGTGCGTGGTCATCGTCACGCTGGTGTGCAGCGCCGGCATCGCCATGGGTTTCTGTGGCAACGGGGAGACCAGCGACGGCATCCATTGGGCCACCTACTCGCTCCGCCATGCCAACCGCACGGTGGCGGGGGTGCAGGACCGCATGTGGGACACCGAGGCTGCCCTGAGCCTCACGGCGGAGCCGTGATGCCGTGATGGAGCGTGGGCCCGAGCAGCAGGCAGAGCCCGGACCAGGCCGGCGTCCGGGACCGTGGGGCCGGGCTGCTCGTAGCGGAGGCGACGGAGACACCCAGCGGCTGAGAGGCCTCCTCCCAGCCCTCCCGGGCGGCCCAGGCGCAGCGATCCCCCGTGGGGATCCCCCACGACATCCAGACCCAGAGCACCCCAGGAAAGCGGAGGGAGGCCTCCAGAGCCAACACAGAACGACTCCCCCGCCGGGGACGGCGAGGACTTCCTCCGTGTTCAGTGGAAGGGTGAGATCTCGGACCTGCGGACACACGCCCCCGCCCTTCCCTGCGTTCTCGGTGGGGGGCGGCGGGGACTGCGCCCTCCATCTTGCCCTGGGTCCTCCACTTTTGGGCAGGGCCATGTGCTCAGCAGGGGCTTCTTCCCGGAGGAGGCCTCTGCTAGCCACACCCAGGATTTCTCTGGACTGACCGGTGATGGTCGGGGGAGGTGCGCGCCATCACTATGACCGCATCCTGTGTGGTGAGACGCCGACTCACGCCTGGCCTAACTCCTCTTCACACCGGGCTAGGCCTCTCTCTGCCACTTGCTGCTGCGTCAGTAAGGAGGGTAGGGGAGCTCGAGCTAGCTCAAATAAAGACTCTTATGCTTTTGCATCGGACATGGCTGGCTCCCTGGTGGTTTCTTGGGAATCTTGAAATCTGGGCATAACATATATATATATATATATACACATACATACATGCAAAGGCAAAGTAAAATGTGGAAGTCTAAGTCTCTTTTCCCTATCAAATTGGAAAATTCAGATTGATAAAGCAGTATGGTGAGTATATGTTTATTCACTCTGGGTGGATTTGGGAGGTTAGCAATAATTTCTTAGGGCTGTCATAACAATTCACCCCAAACTTGGTGTCTTAAAACAACAGATTTATTCACTCACATTTCTGGAGACTAGAAGTCTGACCTCAGGTGTCAGTAGGGCCACTCTTCCTCTGAAGGCCACCACACTACCTCTTCCAGCTTCTAGTGGTGGCTGCCACCCTGTGGTTGCATCACTCCACTCTCTGCCTTCATCATCATGTGGCCTTCTTCCCTGTGTGTCTTCTCTGTCTCTGTCCAAATATCCCTTTCCTTTCCATTATAAGAACACTGGCTGTTGGATTTAGAGTCCACACTTACTGTGTCACCTCATCTTAACACTTGGAGTGCGAGAAACGAGTTAAGTCGGCTCGCGTGAATTGCGCGTACTCTGCGGGAGCCGTCTTTAACTCGGTTCATATAGATTTGCGGTGGAGTGCGGGAAACGTGTAAACTCGGGCTGATTGTAACTGCGTATTACCAAATATTTGTTTGTAATCCACCCTTTTGGTGGATGGAACAAAACCAAAAGACAGAGCCATCTTATATTTTGGCAGGAAATTCACCCGCACTCCAAGTGTTAAGTTGGTTACAACTGCAAAGATCCCATTTCCAAATAGGATCACATCCATAGGTACCAGAGATAAGGATTTCAGCATATCTTTTTCAGGGGCACAGTTCAACCCACAGCACCCCATTTGTTTTATTTATGCAACCATTGACCTCCTCCACCCTGTTCCCGCACCCTCCCAAGGCAAGCAGGAGCGAGCAGGAGGCTTGCTTGCTCCAGTGATGGAGGAAGCCAGCCTGCCGCGGCCTGCTCTGAAATACATTCAAAGCAACAAAGTTTCAATTATAGAAGGTAAATAAACCCCAGATACCTGCTTTCAGCAGGCCGTGGCCACGGAGCTGGAGCAAGCAGGGGGCTTGCTTGCCCCTGCAATGGAAGAAGCCAAGATTCCCGGCAGCTGCTGCCTCCTCTCAAGGCAACAAAGTTTCAATTATAGAAGGTAAATAAACCCCAGATACCTGCTTCCAGTCACCATGGCCACGTAGGTGGAGCGAATAAAAAAAAAAAAAAAAGGAAAGGCTGGGAGCTTCAGTCGCCAGGGGGCTTGGTCAGTCTGAAAACAGCCATCAGCCCCTCCTCCAGGCTGGCCAGACACCCCAGTGGGGACCCCCACCCCATTTGCTCTGACATTCATGTCTGTTGCATGCTTCAGTGTCTCTGGGTCTATTTTGTTTGTCAGTTTATTTTGTTCATTAGATTTTCCATATCAGTGAGATCATGTGATACTTGTCTTTCTCTGACTGGCTTATTTCACTTACCATAATACTCTCCAGCTCCCTCCATGCGTGTCTCAAAGGGTAAGAGGTCTTTCTTTTTTACAGTTGCATAGTATTCCATTGTGTAAATACCACAGCTTTTTTATCCACTTGTCTACTGATGGGCACTTGGGCTGTTTCCAGATCTTCATTACTATAAATAGCGCTGCTATGAACATAGGGGCGCATATATTCTTTCTGATGAGTGTTTCAGCCATCTTAGGATATATTCTAGAAGTGGGATCACTAGGTCAAATGGGAGTTCCATTTTTAATTTTTTAGGAAACTCCACACTTTCCATAGTGGTTGTACCAGTCTGCATTTCCACAAACCGGGTATAAGGGTACCTTTTTCTCCACATCCTCGCCAGCACTTGTTGTTTGATTTATTGATGATAGATAGCCATTCTGACAGGTGTGAGGTGGTATCTCATTGTTGTTTTTTAATTTGCACCTCTCTGATGATTAGTGACATGGAGCATTTTTTCATATGTCACTTAGCCATTTGAATGTTCTCTTTGGAGAAAAGTCTATTCAGGTCTTTTGCCCATTTCTTAATTGGATTGTTTGTCTTCCTGATGTAGAGTTGTATGAGTACTTTACATATTTTGGAAATTAAACTCTTATTTTATCATTGGCAAATATGTTCTCCCATGCAGTGGGCTCTCTTGTCATTTTGTTGAAGGTTTCTTTGCTGTGCAGAAGCTTTTTATTTTGATGTGGTACCATTTGTTTATTTTCTCCTTAGTTTCCTTTGCCCTAGGACAGTGATGGCGAACCTTTTGAGCTCGGCGTGTCAGCATTTTGAAAAACCCTAACTTAACTCTGGTGCCGTGTCACATATAGAAATTTTTTGATATTTGCAACCATAGTAAAACAAAGACTTATATTTTTGATATTTATTTTATATATTTAAATGCCATTTAACAAAGAAAAATCAACCAAAAAAATGAGTTTGCGTGTCACCTCTGACACACGTGTCATAGGTTCGCCATCACTGCCCTAGGAGATGTATCGGTAAACATATTGCTATGAGAGATGTCTGAGATTTTGCTGCCTATGGTTTCTTTGAAGATTTTTATGGTTTCACGACTTACATTTAAATCTTTTATCCATTTTGAGTTTATTCTTGTGTATGGTGTAAATTAGTAGTCTAGTTTCATTTTTTTGCATGAACCTGTCCAATTTTCCCAACACCAGTTTGTGAAGAAACTGTCTTTACTCTATTGTATGCTCTTGCCTCCAATGTCAAGTATTAATTGAGCATAATGGCCTGGGTCAATTTCTGGATTTTCTGTTCTGTTTCATTGATCTATATGACTGTTCTTATGCCAATACCAGGCTGCTTTGAGTACAGTGGTTTTGTAATATAACTTGATACCTGGTATTGTAATTTCTCCCACTTTGTTCCATCTCAAGATTGCTGCAGCTATTTGTGGTCTTTTTCGGTTCCGTATAAATTTTTGGAGTATTTTTTCTAGATCTGTGAAATATGCCATTGGTATTTTAATTGGGATTGCATTGAATCTATAGATTGCTTTGGGTAGTATGGACATTTTAATGATGTTAATTCTACCAATCCATGAATATGGTATATTCTTCCCCTTGTTTATATCTTCCTCTATCCCTTTTTTTCAACATCCTAGTTTTCCAAGTACAGGTCTTTTCCTTCTTGGTTAAGTTTATTCCTAAGTATCTTAATTTTGTTCGTTGCACTGGTAAATGGGATTGGTCTTTTTTGTTGTTGTTGTTAGTTTGTTGGTTTTGATTTTTTTAGTTTCTCTTTCTGAGAGATCATTTTTGGTAAATAAAATGCCCTTGATGTCTGGGTATTATTTTTGTATCCTGCTACATTGCCAAATTAATTTATTAAATCTAATAGTTTTTTGGTGGAGTCCTTAGGGTTTTCTATATACAATATTATGCCATCTGCAAATAATGATAATTTTACTTCTTCCTTTCCAAGTTGGATGTCTTTTATTTTTTCTCTTGTCTGATCGCTGTGGCTACGTCTTCCAATACTGTTTTGAATAATAATGGTGAAAGTGGACATCCCTATCTTGTTCCTATTCGTAGGGTGAATGCATTTTGCCATTGAGTATGGTGTTGGCTCTAGGTTTGTCGTATATGGACTTTATTATAGTTAGGTGTGATCCCTCTATTCCCACTTGCTGAGAGTTTTTATAAAAAATCGGTGTTGGATTTTGTTGAATGCTTTTTTTAGCTTCCATTGATATGATCATGTGATTTTTGTCTTTTCATTTGTTTATGTGATGTATCACATTTATTGATTTGCAAATATTCTACCAGCCTAGCATCCTTGGAATAAATACCCACTAGGTCATGGTGTATGATCTTTTTAATATATTGCTGGATCCAATTTGCTAATTTTTGTTGAGGATTTCAGCATGTGTGTTCATCAGGGATATTGGCCTGTAATTCTCTTTCTTTGTAATTTTTTAAAAAAAATATATATTTTATTGATTTTTTACAGAGAGGAAGGGAGAGATAGAGAGTTAGAAACATCGATGAGAGAGAACCATTGATCAGCTGCCTCCTGCACATCTCCTACGGGGCATGTGCCTGTAACCCAGTTACATGCCCTTGACCGGAATCGAACCTGGGACCTTTCAGTCTGCAGGCCGACGCTCTATCCACTGAGCCAAACCGGTTTTGGCTCTTTGTAATGTTTTTATCTGGTTTTGGGATTAGGTAATGCTGGCCTCATAAAAAGGGCTTGGAAGTGTTCCTTCCTCTTGGATTGTTTGGAACAGTTTGAGGAGGATAAACGTTAGTTTTATTTTGACTGTTTGGTAAAACTCCCCTGTGAAAAGATCTGGACCAGGGCTTTTTTTGCTTTTTTTTTTTTTTTTTTTTTGCCAGGAGTGTTTTGATTATTGCTTCAATGTCATCCATTGTTATTGGCCTATTCAGGTTTTCTGATTCTTCCTAATTCAGTTTTGGAAGATGGTGTTTTTCTGGGAATTTGTCCATTTCCTCCAGGTTGTCCAGCTTGTTGGCATATAGTTGTTCATAATATTTTCTTACAATCCTCTGTATTTCTGTGGTGTCACTAGTTACTTTTCCACTTTCGTTTCTGATTTTATTTATTTGGTCCTCTCTCTTTGTTTCTTGATGAGTCTGGTTAAAGGTTCATCATTCTTGCATATCTTTACAAAGAACCAGCTCTTGGATTCATTGATCATTTGTATTGATTTTTTAGTCTCTATGTCATTTATTTCTGCTCTGATCTTTATTATTTTCTTCCTTCTACTTACTCTGGGCTTTTCTTGTTGTTCTCTTTCTAATTCTTCTAAGTTTTAATGTTAGATAGCTTTTTCTTATTTCTATAGGTAGGCCTGTAATGCTATGAACTTTCCCATCAGGCCTGCTTTTGCTGTCTCCCATAGATTATGGGTTGCTGTGTGTTCATTTTCATTTGTTTCCTGG